GGAATTTTAAAGAGTTTTAACCAAAACTGTCTTAAATATATAATTCAAAAGGAAATTCCCCACAACCTTTTACCAAAAACATAAATAGGCCTGTGTGTGTGTGTGTGTGTGTGTGTGTGTGTGTGTGCACGTAGAGCTGGGGCTAATTTATGTTAAGCACTTAATAAATGATATAAGGATCATTAGCAAATAATACTTAGATCATAATAACTGTAGTATTAGAATTTATACACTTCAATTATGATATGACGAGGACTTATGTAACCATTTAGTGATTCTCAAAAAGGAATTATATTCATTCCAGTATGCTACTAAACATTCTCTTTGGAATTTTTAAATCATTTAAATAATCCCCAGGGGTTATTCAAGATATGGTATGTAAAACTACTATAAAATGCCCAGATGTTAGTAAAACTTTGGTCTTTTATTTTCTAATACACATTCCTATAAAAGTTTTATAATATTTCATTTAAAAAGAATACAATTTATTTCACCTCTTCCTAATTGTCCTTAATGTTTAAAAGTGACTCAATTTCACATTAATCAGATAAGCAAGAAAGGCAGAACTCTTCAAAAGAGCTTTATCAACATTTTATTTTGCATTTCCCAAGTTCCATTCGAGAAATACTGGATCATAGCAAATCCATGAGAAACTATAAAGTAATACAGGCCTTGCTCAGAATTCTCTCAGGCAATTACTAGAAACACCATAAAAATGTGTGATCATGGTATCAGATCATGGATGTTTCCGAGGGAGCACTCAATTATGTATTTATTCCCATTTTTTACCAAAGGTGTTCCTTGGGATACTAGTTTTTCAAAACACCCCTGAAAAAAGGGACTCCTAAACAATTTGGAATTTTTTGCATACTATGTCTTCCTACTGAAAATTCACAAATCACAATTGAATGTTAGAGTTCTTAATAAGTATGGCAGTGCAATCTGCTATTTATTTGTTTAGCACAGAATTTCCTCATTGTTGGTGTTGTTTTTTACTCTAAGACCCAAGGAATTCTCTCTCTTCCCTCTTTTCGCCTTCCTAAATACTATGAATTTGCATTCCATGGGATACTCACCGGGAAATGCTGCATTAAGGCCCCAGGGCCTTGGGAGCCTCTATACCATAGCTGTGGTACTGGGGACTGTACCTGTTACTCAAATGGCATCAGGTAATTCTTCTGACATTAAAAGAAATAATCCTTAATGATTAGAGCAAAACAGCGCGAATGTACTTAATGACACTGACCTGGATACTGAAAAACGGTGATGGTAAATTTCATATCGTGTATATTTTGCAACAATTTAAAAAGTAAATGAATAATTTAATCTTGTTTTAAGGCACTATTAAAAAGCAAGATATTTTTTAATGCTTGAGAGAATGACTTGCCTTGTAATAAAAGCAGATTCTTAAAAGAAAAACCACCTAAAAACCCTCCTCTATCACCAGGAAACACTGTCCTGGCCAAAAGAGAAGACGGTGGTGGATGGTGAACTATACAACAGTTGTCAGAATAAGGGAAATACTCTTTTTCTTCCTTGTGCTTCCACTCCCTAAATCCCCGTGGTGTTACAGTTGCACTAACAGATTTGAAAGGAGGCTTCCATTTTGCATGGCAAAAAATAATACAGTGTTCTAAAAATGTAAAATGGCATTTCACAAGTTTTTTAAAAAAATATTTCATTTCCTGTAGTGGCATTAAGAGTAAAATCTGCTGTGTGGATTTTTAAGGTTAGGTGGAATACATCTGACTTATCAAAGCATGTATTAATAAAGGAGAATTAACAAATTTGTGAGAAATAGACTTAGAGAAGGATTAGTGAACCATAAAAGGATTGATGAACTATAAAACTCATTGCAGAGCTAAGAATGTTGAAAAACATTGGTCTCTTTGGCTAATGTCACCTACTAGACTGTAAGTTTATGAAGGCAGGGACCACATCCATCTTGTTCACTACTGGTGTTTTCATGCCTCTAACAGTATCTAGTGTTGCAGACACTTAATAAATTCTTTTGAGTGAGTTAGGAAGTTCAAGATAGAGTTAAAACACAGAAAGTTGCTTTTTAGGCAATGTTTAAAAACTGACACTAATGAAAGTACTTCTCAGTTAGTAAATGATTCAAAATATCACCAGTTGAGCATTTAGATAACTAATAAGTCACAACTTCATTATTCGTGTTAATCATTTGCTACTATATCCATCCAAATCCTACATATGGAATTTTATTCACAAACCAATACTCTACATTTCAAGAGACCAATATTGTCAACACTTAAGCACTTAATATTCAAATCTTTACATGAATCTTTTTGCCTAATGGGCTATTGAGAATGTGTCTCATGAAAGCTGGGCAATATCTTTATGTCCTTTTTAAGTCGAGGCATTATGATTAAACTTTCTCTACATTTTTAAGATATCCAGTGGGAGAATATTAATTAAAATGTTAATATTCATTATTTAAATTAATTAATATACTGGTGCACCTGGGTGGCTCAGTCCATTAAGTGTCTGACTCTTAGTTTTGGCTCAGGTCATGATGTCACGGTTTGTGGGTTCGAGCCCTGCATTGGGCTCTGTGTTAATGGCATGGAGCCTGCTTGGGATTCGATCTCCCCCTCTCTCTGCCCCTTCCCTTCTCTCTCTCTCTCAAAAATAAATAAACATTAAATTAATTAATATTCTTTGAAATTTGAGCTATTTGCACACAAACATTAAAGTGAAGAATGATGAACTGGTGTTTCATACAATCCTGACAGAAGATTTAGAGATGAAAGAGTATGAATTTGTAAGAATATAAAAAAGAGGTATCTACTGCTTTCAAATATATTTCCTGAACCTTAATTATTGGGTTTTATGTCTCTTATTTAGAACAAATAAAATATAAGCAGGAAAAATAGAACATAGTATCACATGATTGGCTAAAACGGTCAAAACTTTGGAATCGCTTTGAAATGTATTTTAAAAGCTCAGCTACTTTGACTTTTTTTCTATTATAGAAACATGAAAAGTTATTTCAACTGAATTGCATACATAACTCCTGGAGTGTAGACAGTTGCTATTATTTGTTCACTTCATCAAAATGCTTTTTTAAACTCGTGCTACATCTGTATTACCAGGTCCTGGAGAAACCAAGGTGAAAGAGGCCCAGGAGAAGCCAAACCTTCTTTGCTATTTCTAACAAAGGAAATGCCATTCTTGCCACTAACTCTTGGAATGATTTCCAAGTTCTCTAAAAATAATTTAACCTGTGTCAAATAGCTGTCTCATCTGGAAAACTCAATAAATGAGTGTAGAAGTTAGAAAAAGCAGGGGGAAAGTTAGGTGTTAAACTGAAATGGTATATCCCAGGCATGTTAGATTGAAAGTCCAAATTAGCCAGCACACTTCCATACATCTGCTCACTTTTCTTTAAACTTGAGCTATATTATTGCAGAAAAGCATAATAATCCCCACTCTGATCTTGTATTTCAAGTGAAAGAGCCTGAACTATCTCAGCATAGGCACTTTTGTAAACGGGTATAATGGGTAGATGAGTTTCTTTCTGGGGTCAGAATTTCTAAATTCCAAGGGCAGATTCTATACGGAGGAGAAACAAGAAGAGTAATATAAATTATTTCTTCCTCATGACAATGATTCTAATTCAGTGTTGGACTTTAGTGTGAGGAGGACATGCCTGCTAAAACATGCTTCATTTTATCTTGTTAAGTTTATTTATTTATTTTGAGAGGGGGGAGGGGCAGAGAGACAAGGAGAGCGAGAACCCCACGCAGGCTCCACGCAGTCAGCATAGGCCTGATGCAGGACTGGAACCCACAAACCATGGGATCATGACCTGAGCTGAAACCAAGAGTCAAACACTTAACCAACTGAGCCATGCGCGTGTCCCAGTCATGCTTCATTTTAAACAACAGTTGAACTCTTGGGGTGCCTGGGTGGCTCAGTTCGTTGAGCCTCTGACTTCAGCTCCGGTCATGATCTCACGGTTTGTGGGTTCGAGCCCCGCATCGGGCTCTGTGCTGACAACTCAGAGCCTGGAGCCTGTTTCAGATTCTGTGTCTCCCTCTCTCTCTGCCCCCGCCTCCACTCACACTCTGTCTCTCCCTCCTTCAAAAATAAACATTAAACAATAGTTGAACTCCTTGTAATTTTGTGCAAGTTATTTCTTAGAAGCCAAATCACCCTTCACTGTACCAGAATAACCGTTTACATGTGGAAAACTCAGTTAAATCCTTATAAATATAAAAAAGTATACTTTATTTGTTCAAAAATGTAGGTCATTATACATTATTTTCTTATTTTGAAGCATTCTAAAATGGCAGTTATTAAAAAATGAATTTTTAAATTCTGTTGTATGAGTTTGCAAGAAAATTGTATTTTAGAGTTTTCTGGTTATTCAATTATCTAAGATTATCATTCATGGTATATTGGTCCGTGAATGAAATGGTATTGCTTGAAATGATTTTCAGATATCTACTAGTGTTCTCAAGCAGAAGGACTGGACTATTTTTAGGAGGGATGACCTACCATATGACTACTAACTTTTGCAGGGTACCACCTAAATCAACATTATTCAAGATGACTTAAGAAAGATGAAAATATTCCAGACTTTAAACATGTCTCTGTTTTCTTTTTTGATATGAAAGACAACCTACAATTTTTTTTGTAAAGAAATGGGGCAACAGCCACTTGCATTATTTCCTGTTGACTGGTCTAAGAAGGAAAGTGAAACTCAATTTGTTTAATGGGTCACGTGACTGTGCAAGTACAAGCACATGCTTTGACTTTGCCCACTCTCCAAATTTGTTTTAGAGCTTGGGGTGGAAAAGGAGGTGAAAGAAGATAATATATGGACCGCCTGACATTTGCCAAGAACTGTGTTTAGCATTTTACACACATGGTTTCACATTTATAAAAAGTTAAGCAGTACATAAGGAAACAAATTCAACCAAAAGAAGTCTTACTCTTTTTTACCCTGCCAAATCTAGAGTTTCTTGCCTGTCTTAATAGGAGATAACATCTCTAGTAAGGAAGAGAAATCTGGTTTCTTGCTTCTTTTCTCTGTAGTCACTGTTTTTTTTAAGTCTTGAAATGAAGGGAGTCCAGCGGTGGATGGCAGCCCAAAAGAGAATGTTGTTTTTATATATCTTATTCTCTTTGCAGGTCAGATAGGTATAGCCAAGAGACACTTAAAAAAAAAAAAAAAAAGGTAAAGAAAATGAGCAAGTACTCAGAATGCTCATAGTTTTCAACTGAGTTGATAAAAATAGTTTAAATGAAATTAAATATAAACATAAAACTTTAATTCCAAATACTGTAGTTTGAGGGAAAAAAAAGGTAAGGTCATCATGACTCTATTAAGACTAAGCCAAATTTAAGAATAATCTCTTATGGGGCGCCTGGGTGGCTCAGTCGGTTGGGCATCTGACTTCAGCTCAGGTCATGATGTCGGTGTTCCCAGGTTCAAGCCCTGTGTCAGGCTCTGTGCTGATGGTTCAGAGCCTGGAGCCTGCTTCGGATTCTGTGTCTCCCTCTCTCTCTGCCCCTCCCCCGCTCATGCTTTGTCTTTCTCACTCTCAAAAATAAATAAATGTTAAAAAAAATTAAAAAAAGAATAATCTCTTAAAGTGTTACTTATCAAGTCCTTGATAGCATTTAAAAACATTAAGTTTGGCCTATTATATGTATGCTATAGATTTGTTACATGTGCTGAGATATAGGAAATGTAAGTAAACATCAGAAACCATACTGAATTGATAACACCAAGTATTTTTAATAAATCCTTCAGTAAATTCTATCCTAAATCAGTTTTGATTCACAAGCTACTCTAGACATTATATTTAAGTCAAATATCTAGTCTGATTTTTTTTTCTATTTTTATCCCAATCAAATAGAGATAACATGAGAAAAGCACTTCCAATAAAGAAAATTATTGTTTCTAATGTGAATTAACCAGTAGTTTGACATTTTAGATTTAGTAGTTCATAAACTACTTGAGAAGAAGAAATACAATCATATTTAATGTTAGATCTTTCTTGGGCTTATCAGAGGGTGTATGCTTACAAATAGTCAGCCGTGGAACCTACCTGGTTGATGAGCAATTTGGGTGAAGAATACCAATGTGGATTAAAAGCCTAATTCCCAGCAGGCCCTTCTCTATGGGAAATCTGTCTCCAAGGGCTGGCTAAGAACTTGCCTTGCTCACTGACTTTTTTCCTGTAGGCTGACCATTGATGGGGAGAACACCACTAAACATTTTGATGATTCATTATAAGTGTGCACATCATAATTTTACACTGATTTTTATGTGGCTTCATCTTAATGGTCTCCCACACCAAAAGTCATGTTTGAAATACAATACATTAACAATCTGAAGCAGACTGAACTGTGAAGCAGGATACTGAGAATAAATAGATGAAATTCTAGACATTTCTAAAGAGGATCCAGCTACTTAATAGCCACTGAGGTCTTCGGTGAATAGGTGTGAATATTTCAGTGCAGTCCAACCTGAACTGAGAAGCAGTTCTTCATTCCAAATTTAAATACCGCCTGTGCATATAAAAAAAAAAAGAGTTTTATTTATTAGTCCAAAATGTTACTATGATTGGGATCTTGAAAAAACATTCTTTTTCTTGGGCATGTTCTTCAGCAAAAAGCAGTTGGGAAGGGTAGGTTAGAGAATGGAACTTGTCTTTGGAAGCCATAAAGTTGAAACGTCCTGTTTTTCACCTCACAACAGGCGAAGCTGGGCCGAAGATAGTTGTTGAGTAAGTACATTTCTCTGCCAAAGTTAAGATGATGAACCATGGGTGAACCCTGGCAACATTCTATTCACCCACTGAAAAGCTGCTAGTATTTGGTTATTGAGGCTCGCCCAAATCATTTTCCTCACACGTTGGACCCATTCTCTTTGAGGGGCAAGTGCAGCTTCCAACATGAGAGTTACAGTGAGCTCTGTGGATACACTGACGCTTCAGAGCACAGTTCGATCCATACTGGCCTGACCTGCATTCTGTGAGGGGGAAAAATAAAAATAAGGGCAATTCAAATATGCTTTTTTATCACACAGTCTTTTTACTACTATTTCTTGGAAACGAATAGGATAATGATAGACTTGTAAAGAATTCTGGTTAACCATGTGGTATCTTTTTCCCATGCTAGAATGTTATATAATAAAAGTAAGGATTTTAATGGAAAACAGGAGGAAGCTGGGGGTGTCAAGGAAGTTAGTGACAAAACTGAAAAGAGGAGAAGGCAGGACAGCACCTTACATTTTTAAAGTACCTTCTCAGAATTAGATTGTTCAATAGAGCTTACAACAGTGGCATTCTGAGGGACCCAGGGAAAATGGATTAGTTGTCTTGAGGTCAGAACAGGGCAACACTCGCTCAGAATACGCAATATGTGAAATTTGTCTTTAGGTTGAAACACAATCATTTGAGCTTATGTTGTTGAAAATGAAATGCTTTATTTTTTTTTTTTATTTTTTTTTCAACGTTTATTTATTTTTGGGACAGAGAGAGACAGAGCATGAACGGGGGAGGGGCAGAGAGAGAGAGGGAGACACAGAATCAGAAACAGGCTCCAGGCTCCGAGCCATCCGCCCAGAGCCCGACGCGGGGCTCGAACTCACGGACCGCGAGATCGTGACCTGGCTGAAGTCGGACGCTTAACCGACTGCGCCACCCAGGCACCCCGAAAATGAAATGCTTTTAAATTCAACTCTTTCATCCCTTAAAATATATCAAAAGGGCCATAGATCTCCTGTATACCTAACTCTGTGAAATCCTGCTATATGTACTAAAGGGATATAACTATGTTTAAATTGAATTGCGTTGTGATTACAACTGGTGGAAGAATAAAAGGAAGGGATAAAAATAGTTAATGTTTTATTAAAATAACTAAAGATAGACTAAAAGGGGTCCTTCAAATATCACACCCCAGTCTGGGTGTTTGGTATTAGTCCAGAAGAGAATTAGCAGAGAATTAACAGGTTCTGTCTCTGAAGGACTGTGAGGTTAGGGAGAAAGTCCAGCCCAGTCCAGCCCATGGAAACAGAAAATCGATTCATACTTTCCAGTCACACTGGCAAGACTAGGAATTAAATAAATTTACCAATATTTAAGGATCAGAGAAATTTAACTTGTAGTAATAACAGTCACCTCGCTCTATGCAGTTTACAAAATGGGTTCCTAATACATTATTTCATTTGGTTCTAACAAACACTTGTGAGGTAGGCAAGGCAGTGAGGTAAGCCCTCTCATTCTGGAAAGAGATAAACTAAGGTTCGCTGTGGCTTAAGAAATCTTCGTACATGTTATATCCCAGGTGAATGGCGGAGCTGGATTTCTAAGTTCTCGTCTGTTGCTCTTTGGTCATTCTCCACTATTATGTAGAAGGACAAAGTATCAAGCGTACATATAGAAGAAAGACCAAATAAGAAATTAGAACACTGGAAAGTGGAAAATTTAGAAAAAAAAATAATATATACATATATATAATAAAAATATAAAACATAGATAAAAAATATATAACATACATAATAAAAATATATAACATATATATAATTGTGTGTGGATAGATAGATGATACATAAATAGATATTAGAGCAAGTCTTGAGTCTGTAGGCAAAATTTTGTTAAACATTTCTTTAGTACCTCAAAATTCTCTTTGCTGGGTTGGAGAGTCAACCTAAATTTACCACGAGCAGTTGGATTTTTTTTTTTTTTTTCTCTTGGACAATGAAGATTGCTTAAGAGGTGCTTTAGGGCTCTTGCCTTAAGTAATTAACTACTTAGATTTTAAATATGGTATAAATGGAGACTGAGAAATCAATTTTGTAATTAATCGCTTTGATAGAGTAATTCAACTCTTTCCTAAAGGAAGGTACAACAGGTAGGTAAAGGAGTTTTGGAGGTGATGTAAATGCTGCTCTGAAATGAATCTCTTCTTTAAAACTCCAAACTTTATGAAGTTAAAAAAGAATTCTGTCATTTCAAATTCAAACTAACGCATTCACCTCTGCCCAGTGTGTGGGAGGAAGTTTGGTGGTAAGACCTAAGTGTTCTTGTTTGTAAAGGAGTTATGAATCAGGATCTCTCCTGAGCAGTTCAGAATCTGATTTTAATTTATAAAAATACCACATTTTCATGTTAATAACGATGTGTATTTAAGACATCTGTTTGAATGTCTGCAAATGTTAATTTACCAAGAGGGTGGGGAAATAATCCAATAAAAAGCTGCTACATTCTTTTATGAATTAACATTATGGCTGTTTAATGGGTCTTTTACCAGAGTTCAAATTAAAATGAGGTCTTTTATCTTTATAGTGCCTGCATAGACACAGCTGCTCACAGTTAATATCACAGATGAACTGTGCCTAATTGAAAATAAAAATGCAAATAAAAGACCCTGTAGTACATCTGTGTAGGCTGTGGGTATCCCAAAGAGCTCGTGACAAGAGGGGCCTTGAAGTGCCCACTGAGAATGGACACATTAGTACACATGATCCACTGTCACGTGGTAATTACTTGTGGATGAAAGAGCCTATGTGATACAGGAATTTTGTCCATGGAAAGTCCATAGAGCGAGGCTTTAATTTCCAGCCTCTCCATCAGCTCTCTTGGTTTAGTGGCTAGCATTAAGCCACTTCTGAGTGCTGTCCCATAGAACTTTCTGCAAAGACAAAAATGTTCTATACTGCGTTATCAAATACCGTAGCCACTTGAGCACTTGAAATGTAATGTGCGACTGAGGTGAATTTTAAATCAAACCAAATTTAAATTAAGTAGCCACCTATGGTTAATGGACAAGGCATGTTAGACAACGCGGATAGAGAACCAAAAGCAATTCCTATGATTGCCAAGGCACCTAGCATAAATTAAAATGTCTGGCACATAGTATGCATTCAATAAACACTAGTGGTTTTTCTCGATATTTAGATCAAACCACAAATGTTACAAGCATTCTGCCTTTCCTGAGCATTTCATTGGTGACATGCATGCTGTGGCTTCACCGAGATGTTATGTAAATGTTTATCCTGACATATTTAGCTTAGATATGACAAGGTTCCAGGACTTTTGTCTACCATGACCCCGTGAAGGATGCAGAGAAGAGAAGCCAGAATTCCTTCAACAAAAATTTGCTACAGACTATCATGTGCTGGATGGACAAATAGACAGTCGCTCAATTCACAAGCCTGCAGTGCAGCAGAGCACAAGGATTAGACATTTATTTTTATTTATTTATTTATTTATTTATTTATTTATTTTCAACGTTTATTTATTTTGGGGACAGAGAGAGACAGAGCATGAACGGGGGAGGGGCAGAGAGAGAGGGAGACACAGAATCGGAAACAGGCTCCAGGCTCCGAGCCATCAGCCCAGAGCCCGACGTGGGGCTCGAACTCCCGGACCGCGAGATCGTGACCTGAGCTGAAGTCGGACGCTTAACCGACTGCGCCACCCAGGCGCCCCAAGGATTAGACATTTAAATGAAGCAGCTTTGCAAGAAAGCAATGCCCGTATCAACAAGTGCCTGAGTTGGAAGAACCCATAAGGTTCCAAGTCAGTATTCATAACCCCTTTACCTTGGTCTCAAAGTCTATAGAAAGGGAAGAAAAAAGTAGAGGAAAGGATATAACACTCTTGATGAGCTACTGGAGGTTCCTTATTCTGGCTTGTATACAGATACTCACACATACAGTATTGACCACTAGTAGTATTACCCAAAGTCTGAAAACAGTCTGCCTGGGTTCAAATCTTGGTTCTGCCACTTACTACCTTTCTGTGCTTCCATTTCTTCATCTGTCAAATAGGAATAACCATAGCAACAACCTCATAGAGTGGTGGTAAGAATTAAATGAATGCATGCAAAGTGTTTAAGATGGGGCAAGGCATTCCAAAAAGTAGCTTTTCTTCCCCCCACTATTTCTTAGAAGCAAAGTGGAGTGGGGGAGATGACGCTGCGTAAGAAGTACTCTCCTATAGCCCGTTACTATGGTTTTCTCAGCATTACTGAAATTCCAAGTTACAGAATCATAGATTAGTGCTGGAAATGATCTTAGCAATATGTAGCCTCAACCCTTCTTCCTGGCAAGGAGGAAAGTAAATTCTGAGATTAAATGCTCTACTTTGGATCATAATTTGTGGCAGGGTCAGTCCTTCAGGGCTATAGTGAAATATATAAAATCTTTTCATCTAGTAAACATCCATCAAGTTAAATAGCAAGTGATGTATCAAGGATCCATTCAATCTACTTTCTCCTCTTCTTAAGACACTCCGTGAAGATTTAGGATTTTACATTCCAGGTCATTCTTGTGAGTGGAATGGAAAATAAAGGATACATCTCAATTTACAATGAGTAGGTGGGAACTCGGTTCTCAAGAATACTATTTGGATCATACCTTAATTGCCTTAATTTTAGTTATTTCTCTGAATAACTTTTGTGATGAGGGTATTTAACTGGATTACTATGAGGTACTTACAATGTGCCCTGTCTCAGCTGTGGTGCTGGATTTGGGTGCCTGAGATGTAACAGCTATATACCCTGGTTAATTGTACTAAGGCAAGGTGACAAGCAGTGGTGGGGCAATGTTCTCTAATTTAGTAATGTTTTTAGTATGAAAACGTCTGTATATCTCCATGTGAACCATGAATCAGAGGGACATCATGAGGTGCTTTGGTTCATACCAGCATCACATGTGGCTCCAGTTTTCTCAGGTGGGTAGAAGTATTTTCCAGTTACTGAGTGGCAGGAACTTTCTCATTCACAGTCACAAAGTTGATGGCAATTGTCTCCAAACATTCCAAGTGAACACTCTACCAAGGAATACTGAAAAATTAACCCTCTGAGCTTTCACTGACGCACTTAAATTGAGATTAAAATACAATTTCCTCGGGGTGCCTGGGTGGCTCAGTTGGTTAAGCATCCGACTTTAGCTTAGGTCATGATCTCATGGTCCCTGAGTTTGAGCCCCATGTCGGACTCTGTGCTGACAGCTCGGAGCCAGGAGCCTGCTTCAGATTTTGTGTCCCCCTCTCTCTCGGTGCCCCTCCCTTGCTCGCACTCTCTGACTCTCTCTCTCTCTCTCTCTCAAAAATAAATACATATTAAAAAATTAAAAAAAATACAATTTCTTCGAGATTAAGTCCCAACTAACAAAATGGGATGGTAAACTGATTTTTGTTGGTCAGAAGAAGGGAGGGAAGTTTTGGAATTTTCAGAAAGAAGCTGCATTGTATACACGATTTCACATTCAGGTCTTATATATTTCAACAGGTCTATATATTTCAACAATGGTTTATATCTGTCAGAATGTGGGTAAGCTTTTTGAAGATAGGAATTTAAGGAAAGAGACTGAGTCCACTAAGGGCATTTTAATACTTTTCCTTAAAAAGCTATTTATTGTGTATCTCCTCAGAAGACTGTTAGCTCTATGTTTTCCACTATATTCCCACATTCTAATGCAGAATCAGGCACATAACAAGAGCACATTATTGAATCACTAAATAATAAATGAATAAAGGATGGACAAGAAATACTATATATAAGGCTCTAGTGACAAATGAGGATATGGTATGAGACTAATATATAAATCTTTTTAAGAGGCAATAATTTTGGTTCACATAAAGTCAAGTTATTATATTATATATTATAGTATTGTTATCATGGCTGTTGTAATGATATGCACAAGACTGTACATAATAGTAAAATTGGACTTAGAGTTGTTAACTAAGAACTATGTAGTTTGGTATTGTTTAGAAGTAGGCTGATCAGAGTCTTTTAGGACTTTATAATACTTTGTTTCAAACTGAGTAACCCAAATTCTCACCTCCATCTATTTATCCACGTTCATGGCTGCCACTACTTTCTTGTGATAAAAGCCCAATTCACATCTTTCAATATTTTTTCATAAAACCCTTATATTTATTTCAATTCCATTGAACCCAATATAGTCTTTTAAAAACATTTAATGAAATATTTTTCATTCAGAGGGAGATCATTTGTCCACTAAAAGCTAACAGCTTTTGGGGTGCCTGGGTGGCTCAGTCGGTTAAGTGTCCAACTTCAGCTCAAGTCATGATCTCACAGTCCATGAATTGGAGCCCCGCGTCAGGCTCTGTGCTGATAGCTCGGAGCCTGGAGCCTGCTTCAGATTCTGTGTCTCCCTCTCTCTCTGCCCCTCCCCTGCTCATGCTCTGTCTCTATCTCAAAAATAAATAAAAATATCAAAAAAAAAGTTAACAGCGTTGGTGATGTTTTGAGATATTAAACAGTTTCATTTATAGGAGGCAAAACATTTTGATCAGAAGCAAAATCAGAAAGAACAACTATACTGGCGTAGAATGAATTCTTGTCTCTTTAATGTCCAAGTCGGAAGTTTAGATGATTATTCCATGTTTTCAATTGGAGTTTGTATTTATGCCCTTATTTGGAAAGATCTCATGGTCACAGAGAATTCCCATATGTCTAAAAATGCTCTGGCTATACCTTTTTCACACTGGCTGCCATGGAAATCTGCTGGGCAAATGCACTGTCCATTCACTGCATCACAACTGGCTCCATTTTTGCAGTCACAGATGTGAGCACAATCCAAACCATAAAATCCAGGAAGGCACGCTAGAAAATAGAAGTGTCAAAAGGCTATGTTGTCTTTAAGAATAAGTAATAAATGACATGCTCTAGGTCATTTTTTTCCCCCAAGACTAAAGAAGGAGATGAGAGCAAAGAATTACAAAACAAGAAAAAATTATATGGAGATGAATATCGACAATAGTTTAGCCATATAGATAAATGAATATATAAAAGGCCATTCTCTATAAGTCATCTAGAAAAATCCATACTAAAATGTAAAATATCTTCAAATAGATAACATTTATTTGCTATGATGAGCTATAGTCTTACAAAGATTTCACCAAAACCCTCTAATACTCTAAACACCTAAAACTATGTTTTCAAACTTCAGATTCAAGCTAAATTTAGCAAGAATGGTTTTTCAATCAAATTGTTTAAGTAAATAAGGGTATCTATGGAAAGTGATTCACATGTTTTTTTTTTTTTTTTAAAGTTTATTTCACGTATTTTGAGAGGGTGGGGAGGGGAAAAAAGAGAGGGAGAGAGAGAATCCTCCCATGCTGACAGTGCAGAGCCTTACGTGGGTCTAGATCCCACAAGCTGTGAGATCATGACTTGAGCTGAAATCAAGATTCAGATGCTTAACTGACTGAGCCACCCGGGCACCCCGCATATAGCTCTTAATGGTTGAAGTCCTGGGAATGTATGACAAAGGTGGGTATGAGGAAATCAGGGGAAGAAAAGAAAGAGAAAGGGAATAAAAGAGAGAGAATATGATATATACATACATATATATGTATATGTGTGTATATATATATATATATATATATATATATATATATAGTAGGTTAACATCTTAAGAAGAAGTTAAGTTTTAAAGTCAGTGAAATATAATATTTGGAAATTTTCCTTAGATGATCCATAAAGTACAATATAGAACTGTCTTTTAGGAAGTCCAGTATAACCTGTTTCTCTTCCATGGTTGGAGATGGTTAATATTTTTGTGGCTGAATATCAAGAAGTAGTACTTGGTTTACATTTAGAGACCATGTAATCCAAGCAAATGCATTTCTTTAAATGCTAAAATTGTCATCTGTCCAGAGAGATGACCTGAGAAAGGTGTGTGAGAGCTAAGCTTGACTGCAAAAAATAGATTCTCATTTCCTATCTCGAGCTTTCTTTAGGGCTGTGCTTACCACTCATCAATGGGAAGGGGATGAAATTTACTCACCCTTCAATTACCCATATTCTCTCCCCCCTCTCTCCCTCCCTTCCTTTCTCTAGCTCTCTCTCCTCTCTCTTTCTCTGTGTCCCCCACCCCCCTTCTAGAGTTGGATTTGGCTAGGTTCCATGTGTATGACACTTGTCCAGCATGCATGGACAGATTCAACATTAGGAAAAACTCATAATCAGAGAGAAGAAAAAGAAGGTAAAACCAAAAGGAGATAAGGAAATTTTACACAATATATACCCTTCTATTGTCTGATCTCATAAATCTTCAAAAATAAGTAACAAAGGAAGATCCAATGCAATGTTTCTTCTGTTTGTTCTTGTACAATTGCTACTGAAAACACATAGAAAAAAAAATCAACTATACTTTATCTCTTTTATTTTAATTATATATAAATTTGAATTCATAAAGATTGCTTTGCTCAACTTATTCATTTCTTTCATTAATACTATTATTCTTCCAGGCTCCCTGGCTCAGAAGTTACAGCCATCTTTGATCCCTTCATTTTCCTCACCTTCATGTCCAAATCAATTGCCTAAAACAGTCAATTATTCTTCCAAAATAATCTTTTGCTCATTCATTTCCATTTTTATCCCAGTCTATATTTTAAAAATTCTAGACCATAATTATAGCTTCCCGCATAGACAGTACTCATGACTATCCTTCCCGATGATCAACAATGTACCCACTTTACAGATTTCTTTCACCAGAGTGATGTCTCCTGTCTGCTCAAAATCTTCCTTGATAAGCAGCTACACAGAAGATGAAATTTATGGGCTTCGAATAAATATATTTTACTCTCTTGTATCTGTTACTCCGATCTTGAAAACAAAACAAACGAAAACTACAAGACGTTTGATTCAATACTTACTGACCTAAGAAACCTCAGAGTAGTTGGCGAGAATTCTAAACTTCAGAAAGCTTAATAAGATTTGTTCCCGGGAAATACGTTTGCCAGAGCCTAAAAACAAGTTGAAAGACATGGGAACAATTTTGTACATTAATATTAGTTAAGAGGCTCAAAAAATTATCTACCTCTAAATAATTAATATTTATCAAGTTTTGCCATGCCACATGCTTCAGTGCTAAATACTTACATGTATCTTCTTATTTAGTCCTCATTATAATCTTTAAGGGAAGGTGTTATTATTTTCCCCATTCTACATATGTTGAAACTGAAACTTATAGAAGTTAATAGTTTATACATCTTTTATATAACAGAGTTAGGCCATTTACAGCTAACTCGAAAGACTAAGCTCTCACATCTTAATTTGTTAACTTTGTTGTCCATCAGGGATCTCTGATGTCTAAAGCAAATTATTGTATAATTCTTCCTTTTCCTATTTAGATGAAAATATTGAGTCCAAATGAAGAAGTGAAACAAATATGTTTCAGGAGACCTTGAAAACAGACATTTCTGAGTTAAGCCTAGATTAACATGAAATAAATGGCTTACTTATCTATATTTTGCCTAAAGGCAGAGGAAGAACAACTTTGTTCAAAAAGTATGGCAGCTGACTCCTCTGCTTGTGTCTACTCCAGATGCTCCTGGAACCATGGAATCATTGTTGAACAAGAGTTATAAAAAGAATGAACAAGTTCAATTACTTCATCATGGCAACATCTAGATGCGACATCTAGAACTTAAATTAGAGCTATGAAATCCATTGTAAGAAACTAAATCATTAACAGTTTACTAATTTGATATAATGTGAATGTATTACTTTAATGATTTAAAGCAGTTTAATTTTTTTTAACGTGTATTTATTTTTGAGAAAGAGAGAGAGGGCACAAGCAGGGGAGGAGCAGAGAGAGAGGGAGACACAGAATCTGAAGCAGGCTCCAGGCTCTGAGCTGTCAGCACAGAGCCCCATGAGGGGCTCAAACAAACTGGGAGATCATGACCTGAGCCGAAGTCAGATGCTCAAACAACTGAGCCACCCAGGCGCCCCAAAGCAGTTTTTAAAGCTTAAAACTTGTCAACACTATGAAATGCCCACTTGTTATCTCTGTTTACCATGTTCACAGTTCCTTCTGTGGGAACCCTAAAGGCACTCACAGCTTTTAGAAAACCGACTGCAGACTCCATTGTTCTGACATGAGCAATGAAAATGGCAGCCTGAGCCATAATAACCAGGAACATTCTGAAAAAGAAACCACCCAAGCATTAGTTCTAGTTAAGGCCACTGAATTTGTAGTAATGAGTTCAAAAACAGAAACAAACTGAAGAATCGATAAAAAAATAAAAGCAAATCATTAGCTAACCTAATCAAGACAAAAACAGAAACACACCCAATTTTTTTTTTTTTTTTTAATGTGGACTAACCATAAAAAGGAAAGCTGGACCACTATCTTACAAAAAGCATGATACAAATAAGTGTAAAAACCTAAAGGAAATGGAAAACTTATAGAAGACAACTTACCAAAATTCCTCTAATTTGAGGCTGAAAACCTAGATAGACTAATTATAATACAAAAACAATAAAGCAAATAGTAAAATAGTTTCTGATTTAGAACAACAGCAACAAAAATCCCACCAGTCTTAGGTTTCATATGGAATTCTATAAGCCTTTGCGGATGAGATTATCACCTTACTATATACACTATTTCAGAGCATTGAAAAGGAAGAGTAATTTCAAATACATTTTATTGAGTATAACATCAATTCCAAAACCTGACAAAATGCATATAAAACTACAGCTTAATTTTACCTATGAATATTGATGCCAAATTCATAAAAAATGTAAGTACACAGAAACCAACAGCATATTATAAAGCAATATATCATGATCAAGTAGTATTTATTCCAAAAATGTAAGGTCATTCAACATTAGAAAATTCATTAATACATACATCATATTTATCAGTCAAAAGAGAAAAATCATATTATTAATTCCATAGATGCAGAAAATACATTCAAAAAATAAATTCACTAAAAAATTCAGTAAAATCATTGAATAAATCAGAAAATTAATAGCTATCTTAATATGGATATTAAAACCCAACATTTCACTTGGTGGGAAACAAAAATATTGAACAAATAGAGCATGTTTGTTTTTGGATACAATGAGTTAACATCATAAATATGTTAATTTTCCCTAACAGAGTAAATGCAGAGGACAAAAACAGCAACAAACAAACAAAAACACCTGTATTTTGTTTTTGTTTTTTTGGTTTCTTTTTTCATTTTTGCATCTAGACAATTTATTTATAAAGTTTATTTAGTGGAACACATGCACAAAAATGTATCAGGAAATCCCTGAAAATAACAGCAATGAATGGTGGGTTGCCCTATCAGTATCAAATATATATAATAAAGACTCATAATAAAAAAGTATTTCATTTCATTTGCACATAAATAAACAAACCAATAAAATAGAGCATCCAGAACTATATCTAACTGCATATAAATGTTTAGTATTTGATGAAAGCTGCATCTCAAAGCAGTGGGTAAGATAGACTTGTAAAAGTTGCAATATAATAACTGAAAAGCTATATAAAGGGAAAATAGATATATTCCTTACACCAGACACCAGGAAAAATACTTAAAATTGATCAGAGAATTAAGTATCAAAAATGACATGCTACAAGTATGAAAAGAAAACATGAATGAATTCTCCTAAAACTTCAAAATGGGAAATAAACTCCTAATTATGACTGAAACTAAAAAAAAAAAAAAAAAAAAAAAATAGAGGGAAAAAAAGATATATCTTATTACAAACAAGAAGAAACTTTCAATCATGCAGAATCTATAATCCAAAGAGGCTCCTAATAAACCATATCCCCTGGGATTTGCACTCTTGTACTACCCATCCCACATGGAATCTGCATTAATCCTATGACTTGCCTTATCCAATAGGATGTGGTAGAAGTGATGTTATATCACTCCCAAGCCTTAGGAAGACCTGATAACCTCTGCTTTGGGAAATCAGCAGTCACCTAAGAAACCCAATTATCCTGTTGGAGAAAAAGGCCATACAAAGGAGGGTGGAACTTTATGATGGGCCTAGTGCCCTTATTAGATGAGACACAAGAGAGCTTTCACACTCTTTCTCTGTCTGCCATAAAAGGATAAAATAATAGAAAAGTTACCTGCAAATCAGAAAATAGGGCTTTCTCCAGGAACCAAATTGGCTGGCACCTTAATGTTAGATTTCCCAGACGCCAGAACTGAAAAAAAAAAAAATTTAAGTCACCTCATTTATAATATTCTGTTAGCAGTCCAAGTTAACTAAGACAAGGAGAACGAATCCATGTGGAGGAACACTGAGGTCGCAGATGTGTAAATGAAGAGGTTACCTTCTCTATTCCCACCCAGTGGAGTGTCCAGAGAGCTCCAGGCCCAGTTATTATCTGCAACAAGAGTCACTTAGATGAACCCAGTTAATCATCAGAATCACAAGAGAGAATAAAAAATTGTTTTAAGTCTCTAAGCTTTGGGATGGTTTCTTATATATTGATAGATGACCGTCTGGTGGCAAATGCACTACAGGCAAAGTAAAAAGACAAAAGACAAACTTTTCCATATTAAGGTGAATGATTCACAACAAAGAGTTAATCTATCTATCTATCTATCTATCTATCTACACATACATACACACACACACACACACACACACACACACACACACACATAGAATTTCTAACATTAAAGAAGAAAAAACAACCTTATAGAAAAATGAGCTAGAGTTATGAATAATTTATAAGAAAAAATGCAAAAAGTCCTGATCCATTAGGGAAGATAACAAAAAATTTCATAATAATAAAATTTAAATTAAAACTCTATTGAGAGGTGCTCTGGTGGCTCAGTCAGTTAAATGTCCAGCTTTTGATTTTGTCTCAGGTCATGATCTCAGGTTCGTGAATCTGAGTGTCACATCAGGTTCCACACTGTCAGCGTGTATTGGGATTCTCTCTCTCTCCTTCTCTCTCTGCCCCTCTCCTGCTCTCGCACTCTCTCAAAATAAATAAACTTTAAAAATAAATAAGTAAAACTCGATTGATATAACATTTCTCACCAAAATTTGTAACATATTCTTTTGATAAGGCTGTGAAGAAACAGACATTCTATATATTGCTTGTGAGCAAGCAAAATGGTACAACAACACATGGAGAATTTTATATGTTGCAAAATCATATTTGTTTTTACCCAATGACTCAGCAACTCTTGCATATGTTTGAAATGTTTCATATTAACAGTTTAAATGATAGAATCAAAAGTTAAAATATTCCATATTCAACTTGGGGTTAAAAAAACTAATATGGGGGCGCCTGGGTGGCTCAGTCGGTTAGGCATCTGACTTCGGCTCAGGTCATGATCTCACAGCTGGTGAGTTCGAGCCCTGCATCAGGCTCTGTGCTGACAGCTCGGAGCTGGAGCCTGCTTTGGGATTCTATGTCTCCTTCTCTCTCTGCCCCTCCCCAACTTGTGCTCTGTCTCTATCAAAAATAAATAGATGCAAAAAAAAAAAGTTAAAAAAAACTAATATGAAAATGATGATACTATTTTTGAAGTACTGCTGTGATTCTGATTTAGTAATCCCAAATATCAGAAAATTGATGAGCTGTTTTCCATGAATTAGGGAAAATATCCATCTTAAAAAAAACTTCCTGAAAAACAATCTTCAATTTAGACTTAGAAAGGCTGTTATTTCAAGTGACTTTACCCTCACTTTCACATGGGAAAACCAAATTGTGAACACTGTGATATTCCCAGAGACACAGAGCATTGTATCAGCAGTGCACGAGTTAGCATAGGGAACTATTCATTCTCATTGCTGCCAAATTTCATGACAGTCAAATTAGTGGTAAAGGATGGTGGGTAATTATACCCATTGTGATCATAATATGTTGGGGCCACAGATCTAAAGAGTCATAGCTCCCATAGGTGAAACCATTTAGGTAAAAGTTCACTGTGTACTCCAAGTTCAGGTCACCACACAGTGTTCCCACCTACACTCAGCCTTACCGTCAGAGCCCTTTCTCTCTATTCTGCCAAAAGAAAACATTGTCTCCTACAATACCGTGCTCTAAATAGGGAGCATGCTTTCCAATGTTGCACCAAACAATCAACTGCGATTCAGAAAGAAAACATCAGAACAACCATCAATGTTTTTCTTTATTCATTCTTTATCAATTTAAACCTCTATATATCTTTTGTAACATACATGTTTGTTGAAAACCACGTGCATGTCACTTAAAAATATATTCATGGTGGTGCATGATTAATTTTTCTTAATGAGTGATGGTGGGTGACCTCTGAGTCCTCCTCTTCACCCCTTGCAGCTGGGGCCACTCTTAATGTGAACTGGCTCTGCCCAGGGCCCTGGGTCCTCCACCCTGCCAGCCTCAAGGCCTCAGTGGTGGTTGAGGTTCTTTAGTATCTTGCCAAGAAACTCAAGGGTCAACAAACCTGCCATCCACAAAGGCTTTAGGCTTAAACAGAATTGGAAGGGGAGTGGGGTTTAGGTCTCATAAGAGCTCTTTCACATTAATTTATATTATTTCAATTACTTAGGGGTTTTAAGGATTTTCATGTGGGTAACAAGGTAACAAAACCAGTTGATATTCACATAACACTATTTTTATTGACAATGGAGTCATAATTGTAAACAACTTGCACGAACTTATTAGAAAATAGCCTCATCACAGGCCTCTACTATATTTTATCAACCAATGGCAGTATGCTCCAGATTTTTATTGAATAAAAGAAAGTGCTAATCAAATTACCTTTTCCACAGTAATTTCCTGTCCATCTAAGATAACAAGTACAGCTTCCGTCCACAGGATTGCAAAGTCCACCATTTTTACAGGTACATTTCAGTTCACAGTTTGGGCCATACATTGTTTGGGATACCCTATAGCAAAAATTATATATAGATATAGATATAGATATATAGATATAGATATAGATATAGATATAGATAGATATAGACACAAAGTCACACATATACATACATACAGAATAAAAATGTCACATGAGCAAACATTTTTCTATGTTTCAGATAGAGTAATCATATTTGTATAGCAAAAGCATAAGAAAATGTTCAAATTAAAACAACTACTCAGATGTTACCTGAAGGTAGTAAGCACAATCATTCATCCATGTTTTCATTCACACTATACACTTTGATGACACTTATAACTACATGCTTGGTATGCTTGGGGAACTGGAGATACCCCAGCAAATAAGCAGAGGTCAATCCCAGATTGGCAATGGGAGCATTTTCTATATTTAGTCTCAAAACTGACGACAGACAAGTGGCTCACTCGTTAATGTCTTGGTGCTGAAATTTGAAAAGCACTTTAGCCTACAGTGGTGGGTGACACAAACAAAGACCATTGCCAAGAGGAGGTAAGTAAGATACAAGTGAGTGAAGCTGACCAGACATAAGGCGAACTGAGCCTTCACTGTCAGGGGAAAATGACTGAGTGGCACAAAGTGCCACAAATAGGAGATTAAACGCTACTCACATTTAGCTGCTTTTACCATGAAGAATACGGGCCCAATATAACCGGCTAAGATGATTTTTTTTTCAGGAAAACTCAAGATCCATATTTTATATGAAACCATTTAATCTTTGAAAGTTGGCAATCAATTAAAATTGTTTTATGGCACTGTGGAAGCCAAAACTATATCAGCCAATTCAAACACATTTGTGGCTAGATTTGGCCAAAGGCCTGTCATTTATACCTTTTAGTTTATAGTATTTTTACATAATGATATTTTTCACATGAATTATCTCATGTAATGTTCACAAATATACCTCTGATGTGGGTAACAGTATTCTTATTTACACTTGAGAAAACCGAAGCTCAGAGACTTCATTCTTTCTCAGGCTCAAGTAGCCAGGAAAGCTAAAAACTGACCTTCCAATATAGAACTTCTGACTTCTCATCAACCATTCTTTCTATTCCAGCTAGCAGGAGAGACATTTTTTTTTTATTTATTTATTTTTTTTTATTTGCCCAAAGACATTTGGTTACTACATAACAGAGCACATACGCACATACTTAATTCAGTATGTATGACACTTTCTTTCCTGCCTTTTTTTGACCCAATAGCTGTCCTTAACTTTAGTACCAAATGAAGACAAATACAGTTGTACAATTTATGGTTGAATCACCACTCGATTTAAAATTTCAACCCATCAGGGGTGCTTGGGTGGCTCAGTTCTTTAAGCGTCTGACTTTTGGTTTCAGCTCAGGTCATGATCTCAAGGATTTGTGAGTTCGAGCCCCATGTTGGGCTCTGCACTCACTCTGCAGAGCCTGCCTGGGATTCTCTCTCTCTCTCCATCTCCCTGCCCCTCCTTGTTTGCTCTCTCTCTCTCAAAAATAAATAAACCAATTTAAAAAATAAAATAACATTTCCACCCACATACCTCTCTGGAGCCCCATATCATGCTCTATTTTTTCTCTTAGCATTGATTTTATTCCTTTTTAGCATACATATAATTCACTTATTAATTATGTTCATTCTCCACTCTCTTCTCTGCTAGAAAGCAAGTTGTAGGACTGAGATACTGTGTATTTTATCCATATGTTCCATATGCTTAAAATGGGCATTGGCATTACATAAATATGTTTGAATTGAATGAATAAATTCCTGAATATATCCAGAAATAGTCGATGCCTCATAAAGCATATATATGTGTATCTGTCTTACCCTTTAACACATTTTTTTTATCCAAAAGGTTAATATAGATACATAATATTGTGAATTTTGTTTCTTCTGTGAAATAAAATTCTCCAAGATTTTTCTAAATTAGTGCATATAATACATCTGCCTCATTCCTTTTTATCAGCTACTTAGGATTTATTGCATCTAATAAAATTTATTTTACCACACCACTATGGATAGGCAAGTAGTTGTTTAAAATGTTTTATTTTGCCACTATGAGCAGTGCTGTAATGAATATCCTTGTGAAAGTCTTCATTCATACGTACCATTGTATCCGTGGGATAAGTCGCCAACAATTTTTAAAATAAAATATGTGCTTCTAACTGGTGACAGATAGTATCAAATTTCCTTACAAAGAGATGCGCAAATTTACTTAGAAGGTTTACCAATGTGCCATTTTCCTTAGTCAAATGCAACTTTAATTTGGATTTCTTACATTATGAATGATGTTTATTATCTTTTCATAAGATCTATGGGTGTCACAGAT